ATATATATATATATATATTTTATAGTACAAGACAATCAGAGCAAATGAAGTGCAACAGGAATGGCGTGAAGGCCGCGGGGTAACAGATCTGGTCTCCTTGCGTGAGTTCTTCAGCGCGCAGCTTCCGGCGAGCGGATTATGCGCTCTCTGGACTTCCGCTTCCATGTACGAATGAAGGCGCTATCTCACGTTTGAAAAACTGCTCTGTCACTCAAATCTTCACACTCTTCTCCCCGTCCGGGCGCAGATTTCCTTGCACTCTAGCCCTGGCCCTGGTCATTTTACTTGGATGGCCCCCAAGAGCCTCCCTCCCGACCTGTCTCTCTCGGGTCTTGACCTCTCACCATTCATCTGTACCTTGCACTCGACCTTACAGAATATCTGAGGCCCCAGACACAGTCGCATGTATGGACTCATCACATTCAAATTTAGGGAAATAATATACAGGTGAGAGTTGTGTTGCTTGCTGACTACAGAAGAGAGGAAAAACCTCCAAGAGAGGCTGGATGGGTTTAAGGTCAAAAAGGGGACAAATTAGGGATTTAAATTTAAATTCTTAACTCCTAAAGTATTCATTGTAAAGTAGGCAGCCCTGTAGGCAGGACAGCTTCAGTCCTTCGATAGACTTGGCCTTTATGCCATCAGAAAAAAGAGGGGAAAGCTAGGAAAATTAGCTAAATGAAAATAAACATTATTTGCATTGAAGGACACAGGCTATGCAAAGCATCCCTCAGGATCAAGTGTGATAGCTTCATTACTCATTTTGGAAACAAAATCCCAGAGAAGAATGACTGGGGTCCAGCCTCATGCCAACTAAAGATGAACTGACCTCACAAAATGTTTCCTATCTTTAATTTCTGTGGCTACTTCTTACTAAGACAGTCCCCGTCTCACTCTCTACATGTGGGTGAGCTGATGTAATATCTATTTGGCCAAGGAGTGAGAGCACAAATAAGACACATGCCAGGCAGTTATTGTTCAAACAGCAATGTTTAGTTGTACAACACATAAAGTCTAGCGACATTTACACAACCGGTTGGAGTGTCGTTGGCTTGTTTTCAACTGGGAGATTTAACCGTAATGTCACCAAAGGGTTGGCTGGGACTGGTAACATTTAACAAATGGGTCGTTCTTGCATCCCCTAGGCTTGGGCCTCTTGCTCCATCAGGACTTGGTTGTAGATGAATGGCCCACAAGTCACCAGCCTTTGAGCAAGTTCTGTCCAGGTACAGATGGGGAGGGGTGGGCAATGGGGAGATTCCATAAAGACAGTGTGTGGGGCAGTGGCAGCCGACATTCGCAAACACTCATGCATCTGAAGAAGGGCCTTTGCCCTCCATTGGGTATTTTCCACTAGCCTACAGTGACCGACTGTGGCCAGACTAATTCATTACATTAAC